ACAAGCGGGAACATCCTTCGTGTTGTAGTCGTACTCGTACTCGTACTCGTATCTTGATATGTTGATTCTTCTCCTCTGCTTCTCACTTTTTATTTATATCACAATTACTTGGATTTAACTTGGGGATTTGCTGGCTTGTTTAGTGGCAAGTAAACTGTTTATCCAATGGATCGGGGTATCCTGAAATATCTGTGGAAAGTTGTTTATGTAATGGATTATCGGTATGGTAAATTGGTAATCGGTTTGCTGTGTCTACGATGGGATTTATTAGAAACGTATATCTGAAAGACTTTTTTCCATTAACAGCTCCATGAATTCCCCGCTAAGTTTTAAATAAATCCACGGAAATGCAAATCAATACCAAAGTTAAATTTCCATTTGGTTTTTTCCTAAGCACTCTCCTGTGATATATTTCAATTGTATTTATTGCACAATTCTTTTAATCGCACAGCAATTATTTGAGGCATACATAATACAATGTCCCAAATCGGCAGACCCCATGCCAGGCACAGCCACCACACCAACAGCGGTCGACCAGGTCCAAGTACCCAGCCCGAGCCCGATGCCGACACATTCTGCAGCCCGGCAAATTTATGCACTGGTGCGATATTTGGCCGAAGGCAATTTGATTATTGAACCGCACCAAAATCCAGAACCCAGAACCCAGAAACCAAACTCCAGCCCGGTGCAAGCTGCACAGCACAGGAAACTTCTGTGCTGCAACCACCTCACAGTTTGGCATCTTTTTGAGGCCAACTAATTGAATTATTAGCGGCCACAGTAAAGAGACGGAGTCGGAGTCGGAGTCGCAGTTAGAGCTGGGATTGGACTGTGTGGTGTGGTGTGGTTATGGTTATGGGTCTCGTTCTGGGTATCGTTCTGCGTGTGTGTGTGTGTGTGCACATTGAAATTATTGTTCGGTGGTTGACAAGGATCAGTGCCGACGCCTTATTTGTGTTCTTGCTCATTGCACTGGACCCTGTTACCCTGCTCTTTCATCTCTCCCCATTGACCTGTCTCTACCCAAACCGATGCCCTTGGGCAGTGGGTGGCCACGCTCTAACAAGCGGGTGTTGGCCACGTCTGGGATTGGGACTGGAATTGGGTTTGGGATTGGGTTGGGTTGGGTTCTGGCACGCCCTACCCTGCAGTGCAGTGTCCTGTCCGCCAGCGGCTGCGACATGTGCACACGTATTGTTCTTGTAAATCATTGATTAATTTTTTACTTTTGCATATGATTAGAGAAAGTTCCACTAGGGCTTTTGTGGCAGAGATTTTTCAATTTGCATTTTGACTTTTGGGTGGTGGAACAGGGGACCGTAAACGATAGTTACGGTCATGACTGGAAATTATTTTAATGGTGGGTGAAGCGACCCCAGAGAGATTTGTGGATTGAGGTCAAGGGAGATCAGAGAATAAGAAACTACATAGCAATGGAAGTGGAGCAAAAAGAATAAAGGCTCATAAGCGGTGGATAATGCTCTGAATAAATGAAGGCTTTGCTTTTAGGATCCTTTCTTGTGGGATACAATTATATGTGGAATACAACCTCTGCCGAAGTTAGCTTTCAATAAACATTATCTTGCTCAACCAACTGTTACCACTGTACCATCCACCCCCCGTAGAACTCCATACTCCAAGAGCATAAGAATCTAACCATGACATGGGACAACCCTTCGCTTATCAAGCATCAACCGAACAAGTTCGTGTTTTGGATCAGAGTCACACTTTCCTGACACTGAGTGACTCTTCCCTGCCCGGCCTGGCTGCCCATCACACACAAATGTCACGCATGTCAGACGGAGCACAATGACCAGATATACCATACCCTGACCATGTTTAATATCCCCCCACCCCACCATGTATCCGTGACACTCACTACTCATATGGGAGAAATATGGGAGTAAACTTTCGAATGGAAACTTTGTATCTGGGGAAAGTTTGCTTACTTTGTGCAAACTTTTCGCATCGAGAACAATGCGGAATGCATAGAATTTTCATAAACTTTGACACTTTGCCTCTGCAGTTGACTGCGGTCTTGGGGCGATAGCCAGAACCGTCGATCGAACAATGTGAGAGATATATGTATGTGCAAGAGACTGACGAAACTGGAGCAGGACTTGTTCCACCATCTAGAAGAAAATGTCCTGCGCTTCCGCACAATTAGTTTGCACTCCCAGCCCAGCCCAACCCATTCCCAGAAAAATCCCTTCCGCTCCCTTGCCATCTTGGAGATGGCAATTTGCAAGGTGCTAAGCGCAGTCTGAGGAACAACAACAAATCACTTAGCCCTAATGGCTTATGGGGTAATGGAAGGAACGGAACGGAACGCCAGTGCATTTAACCGAAAAACCTCAAGCAGTTAAGCGACGTTTTGCTATGAGATGAGGATGAAGGAGCTGTCAAATGGTTGTCTTTTCTTGTCAGAGCGAAAGTAGAACGTTGCACGATGCTTCGCAAGTGTGAACCCCCCGCCAGCACTCTCTCTGCTCGCTGTGGATAATGAGCGACCCAATTAGGCAAAGTGAGTGGCGGTGAGAGAGATGCATATGAACCATAAAACAATTGAACAATGTGCTGCAAGCAATTAACCAAGCAACAGCACAACATAAAAGGCCATAAAAAGATGATGCCAACAAGTGCCTGCTGGAGAAGCGAAGGAAAATTCACTTCCTTATGGGTATGAAACAGAGTGAAAAGCGGCCGCTTAACTGTTTAACCGCAGTTGTGGGATTTTATTTGCTTTAATATATATATGGGAAATTAATAACAATTGAAGAGGGAAGCGAGTGATCAAGGAGTGGACCAAATAAAGAAATGCCTAAGCTACACAGAGTTAAGGCAGATCAAGAATAGAGAAATAGAATATGGAAGCAGTCCAAGATCTAACAGATCTACTCTACCTCCTCTTGAGAATCAGTCTCTATCTTGCAGGCCAACTTATTTAATGAAATAATTCATTTCTTAGCTACTTACTCGAATTTCAAACTATTCCCTTTCTAGTTTCAGTTTCTGCCACTGCCAAGCTAAATCCGTTTTGGCTTCTTTCTCTCTCATCATCGCAACATGTGTATGCAATTTAGTCCACTCCGATCAATTGCACACAGTTGTCTAACTGTCGGACTGTCATTTGTTTATTAGATTTGTCAATGCAACAGTTTTTTTTTTTTTTGTTCGTCTTTGCCAGGAAACCCAACCCCCGCATGAACATAAAAATCATTGGAATTGCAAATAGATGGATAGAAAAAAGTGGGCAAACTTTTTGGGAGGACGACAAATGCGCCCTCAAACTTGTCGGTGGGGGTGGTGGTGGTGGTGTCACATGCAGGCGATGCGTATAAATTAGAGCTGCCATCGAGTGGCTGGCGGAGTGGCCATTGTGCGGCATCTTAAATGTCAAAAGTGACACCCTATCCCCCAGTCACGGGACCCTGATCCTGCCCCTTGGTCAGTGCACCTGAAGCAGGCGCTGGCGAAAACAATAAATTTCCCTTTTCCGCAGCCAAAGCACCCACAAAAAAAAATAGAAGGAGGACTCTAACATGGACACCACTACCGCTTCGAGGCATAGTAAGGGGAGGAATGAGGACCAGGGTTGGGAACCGGCACGGGATGGGGGGCAAGAAAAATGATGACCACTGGACGCACGGGTGAACATGATGGCCCCATTCTATGATATAAAAAAAGGTAGCCTTACGTCCAAGGAACAACTTGCTGGCTAATAAAAAGAGCAAGGAAAACCAGAGGACAAACCTGTTTCAAATGCATTGGCTTCCCCAGCAGGGGGAGTAGTGCTATAAATGGGGGGTAGGGGGCGGTCACTATTATGACCAAGAGTTGAGGGTGTTTAAGCGGAAAAGGTAAGTGCCGTTGAGGTTGTTCCCTATTGCCATAGCTGTCGTGTTGTAACTGCCACCGGGCTTTTAGTCAATATCTCAGGCATTCTGCAATTTTTCTTCATTTTTTACGCATACATGTGCAGCCCCAGACATATGTGTAAGTTACCCGGAAGTTAAGCTGTTGTTTATGTGTCATAATAAATCATGTTCAATGCACACGAAACAATTTCATCTAAGTGGGTAATGGGAAATCCGTTTTGCTGTCGTAGTCGTAGTCCACTTCCTTCTTCGGTTCTTTTTGTTTGGGTCTATGGTAGATACAAGTAGTCTTATGTGCATAGTATTGGCTGTTGATATGCCATGGGAAGCGATGGAGAGGCTTTGTTCAGGTTGATGCTTAAGTAACTTCCAAGATAGAGAATCGCGAGCTTGGCTGTATTTTGTACCGAATTATTGTGAAATAAAATACATACCCAAGTATCAAATTTTCTTTAGCACTTGCGGAGTTTTTTCCTGCCTCCCATACATATATATCAGTGTGACAACCCCCACAGAACCTGCAAATTGGTTAATGTATTCACATAAACTCACCCGTAAATCCCAGTTGACTTTTTTTTATAAACGCTTCTAAATGCAAATAAAAGAAGTCACTTAAAAAATTATTCAGCCGCCAACGGGGGACCAAAGAGAGCCGCCACAACGGGAAATAAATGTGTTAATGTTCGCCCCGAAACGCTTTTCGAATTCATGTCAGTATCAGTTTCATGAAGTAACGAAAATTCACAAATTCGCGGGAGTGTTGTGTGGAGGCGCACGCGTGTCACTTACAGAGATTTACTGGGAACAGGGCCCATGGGGGAAAGGTAGTCAGTGCCCCCGGTCTCTCTCGCTGACACTCTGCCACAAATGGCAGCTACGTGGCTTGGGCTTCCACTTGCCTAGACAGAACAGAGGAAAACGTATGTATGAACCCGTATTACTTGCAAATATTGCATTAAAGGTAAATACTTAAATAATTTCATTGAAAAATGTATGCAAATATTTAACCAAGAAGCATGGACAGCTGCCATATCGATGTGGATTTAAGCTACATATACTCAAGTTCAAGGTTTAACAAGCTGATATAAATACCTCGAACACGTAAAGCCATTCCAACAGTTCAGTTCGATTTAACACTCCCAAAATGTTTCGTTTCGTTTTTTTACTGGGAATTTCATTCTTCAGTTTGAGTTATTCCTACAGGCTCATGGATATTCATGACGATTTTCCGACTTGTCCTGCGAATAATAAGGAAATCGAGAAAATTAAACCAATAGATAAGCACGAGAATTTATATAACGATATCAACAGCAAGGTTGAGCATAAAACTCAACAAAATGAAAATAAACCAAGCAACTGGCTGATGCAGATCATTAAGATAATAACCATACCCATGGAAACGCATCAGGGATTCGGAAAACACCATGAAGAAGGCATCAATAGATTACCTAAGCGAGACCGTCACATCTCACAACTACAACCAAAAAGCGAAGATGTCTACCAGCAAACCCAAACCGAAAGAACTCCCAAAATTGTGCTCTTAATAAAAGAAAGGCCCCACGATGAAGAACTCCGTGTAAAAAAGAGAAATCCATATTTATATCATTTCATGTGATGCCTATTTTCCAACCAATTAAGCATACACTTGTTTAAAGGAAACCAATGAATTGTTATATCTCTATTTCATTTGCATATAGCCACATGTGCTGTGACACACCCTCATCATCAAATCTCATATAGTTTTAAAGATCTATTACCCCTAATTAGGGAAACTTTGTACCGAACACATGTTCCCAGCTCAGAAAGCAATAAATTAAATCATTTTCCTGCTGTTGCGGCAAAGGATTTGAAACTTCGAGACACATTCAAGACATTTTCCAGTCATAAATAATGCCCTTACATATGTACATACTCGTACATGTAAAAAAGCTCTTCTTTATGCCACTTGATTGCGGTTCGCCGTGGAGCAACATAACCATCCCCAACCATAAAAAATTATATTATATGCATGACCCTAAATTAATCTAGCGAAACCTTTTCCATTTTTGTGACAAACTTCAACCCTGAAGCTGTGGAGGACATCAAAGCCAGTCGAGTATGACAAACGAAGTTATTTAAATATGGTACGTAAATGTCATATGGGAACAAATTAAATTTGGCTTATGGATGTGGCCAGGCAGGAAGCTACAGGAAGCGAAATACATAAATGCATATATGTACGTATATTTTATGGAGGGATTCTTTTTTTATTTGGTCATCTCTTTTCTCTTTCATTTTCTGCATTTCAAGTGCATTTAAAAGGGATTTAAAAATGTTCAGGGTAATCTTGATTTTAGGGCGATTTAAAAAAATATCTAATCATATTGAGCTTTACCAGAGTACCAGACTTATGGGCTTGGAGTTTTTATTCGTAAAGAGAAAGGCTTACCATTGAGAGCATGCTATTTGGAGATGCTTCTCTTAACTTTTACTAAACTTTAACAACCTGTTCGTACCTTATTCTCTCATGTTTAATAGTTTAAGAATTCATTTCTTCAAGCAACAGACTGCTACGCCATGCCGCCTTCTTTTCAGAACTTCATTCAAATTCAGTTGCGAACATTTTTGCATTCTGCAACTTATGCCAACTTCTACACAATATGTTGTCGCCAGCACCAAATTGAAATTATGCAAAAAACAAAACACAAAACAAAGAAAAAAAAAACAGAGACAAAAGTAAGAAATAGAAATAGATTTCATTTGCAAACCAAAATGTTTGCTCAGGCGGTGCCCATAAGCATAACCAGATCTTGAAACAGACCCAGACTTCCTTTTAGCAAGAACAGGAGCTCATTCGCATGCAGTTGGCATCCCGTAAAGTGGATATTGATATTTTGTCCTTAAATTTTGTTATTTATGTGCTATAGAGTGTTGGGAAGTTCTAGACCCCTCGGAAAACTAAAATAAACGAAACAGAAGTTTACAATTGGCAATGGAAAGAGGAGGAAAATTCCTGTCAACTTGTGCAAATTTAACGCGACATTGTCTGAGACGAAGGACGAGCCGAACAGTTCCTCCCCCAATTTCCTTTTTTCGGGGGTTCGCCCATTGACATGCAAGTCATGTGTCAGACCAGAGGCCGACGCTTAACTCTGAGAGACCACAGAAAAAAAAACCCAAGAACTTTGCCCATAAATTGTGAACCAAAAAAAAAGAGCAAAATTATGTTTCAACACATTTGAAAGGAAACTCTTGTTTGACACAGGCCCTTGAAATTTTTATCAATTGCCTGCGAATTTATTTTAAGAGTGCGTGAAATTTATGATTGACAAATTGAATTTGAAAATTGAGCAATATTTTTTGCTTAAGGAGGGAACTGGAATAATGTTTTGGTTGAAGGATTCATTGAATAAAAACTAAGGACAATTTTGAGAATAATTTAAGATTGCAATACTTTATAGATCTCTCACTCTCTCTTTAAAAACTTTCCTTTTGCCTTGAGTTAAGTATAGTCATAAAAATGATTAATGACCATTCAATCGTTCTGCCTCATCATATCCCACTCAAGTCCAGGATTCGTTCTGGTATTTGGATGCTGACCAGCAGAAATGCCTGCAGGATATAAGGATTATTCCCCCACCAAATGGTAGTCCCAGTATGTAGGCTTATTTTGTATTGTTTCAGAATGGACAAACACTAAACACTCCATAAAGAAAACCATTAAATGTGGCCCCCATTAATGCGCGGGGAATATCCCAAAAGCCGAAATCAAAACAGAAACATTCAAGTATTTCTTTGTTTATCATTTTTTTATGGCCGCCTTGAGTATGTGGGCGTGTGCCTGACATGGAGTAATCGTATAAATCTTAATGTTTATAAATCAGAGTACTCGATTCTATGCCCCAGGGGCTGCCATGAGACGGTTCTTGGAATGGGGAGGCTACGCATACGATAGAGAAAAAATGATGAAATATTAACCGAAAATTAATAATAAAAAAAAAGAAAGAAAGAAAAGAATAAGCCGAGAGGGCAGATAAAGAATAGTATATTGAAGGTTTTCTACAACCCTCTTTAAGTTCTCAAACACAATGGAAAATTCTTTAAAAAAATTATCACAAAAAATATCTCTTTAAGAACGTCTGTGCAGATCAACCAATGACCTTGAAATACCACACAATACTGTTCCCATTTTCCTCTAAGATAGCCGCCACAAAGGAAATCAAATGTTCATTGTTATAAACATTTTTTTCATATTTTTTTTTTTTTGTAATATGCAAATAATTTGCTGGCCAAATGGCAACCAACTGTGACCCAACAGATGACAATGCCAACGCCCTCTAACCGAACCAACAAGGAATACGAATCAGATAGATCCTGTACTCCCTGCCAAGGAGTCAAGTCGAGAACAATGCGACCCGAGGCCTACTTGCACTTGTAAGGAAGTTCCGACTCAAACCCCCACCAAGATCCTGCTCTGCTTCTGCTTCTGCTCCAGCTCTGAGTCTGAATCTGAGTCTGTGTCTGGTCACATTTGTATATGACACACAGTTGACAGCTGTGGTCGCTACTTGGAATGGCAGCGGGTGGTGGCTCCGTGTCCATCTGCCCCGTTCCGTTCCTCTTTCCGGCTCAAACTTTGACTCCGTTGATGCGTGGCCATTGTGCGCATTTGACGTTTGGTTTATTAATCAGTTTGGCCTGCGGCCACGGACCCACGACCAACGTCACAATTTTCCACAAATGAATAATTTTTGTGAATAAAAAAGCAAAAGCCAAAAAGGCAACCCACCCACACAGCAAATGTGACACACAAGGGACTGACTTTTGTTTATTTGTATATGTATGTACATATATTTTTGTATACCCTTAAAGAATGCATAATGATTTTGCTTGCAGTGAAAAAAGTCATCGCTTATAAATGATATACAGATCTAAAATTTCACCATTTTCCTTCATAGATTATCAAGTTCATTATCAGAACTTAACATATCAAAATAAAATAGTTTTGTTGCAGAATAGAGCAATAAGATTTGATTTTAATTTAAATATAAAACCATAAGAAAGTTGTAGATATTTTTTCAAATCTTAACTTTAAAACGTTCATAGAATTATTTGTACCCATCGATGTACTCACTATTTCCAAAAGGGTGCTTCAAAATTCGGCTCGCCTTCCCCTTTGTATTTTCATTTTTGCCCCTGCGCGAATTCCGCGTTTTAATTTCAACGGAGAGAAGAAAAAGTCAAACAAATGTCAGTCGCGTGTTAATCAAGTGTAAATAAATGGCGCAAAGATTAGAGAGCGCCGCCAAGGCAGAAATGTTCTGGAAACCCCCGCACAAAACAAATAAAAAGTACAACAAAAAATAAAAATAGGAATTCCCCAAAAAAAAATGGAGGGTGTGACGCACAGACAATGACGCGACCAAAAAAAAAAAATAGCTGTTGAAAAAACATTTAATGGTTTTTTAAATGTTTTTTAAATGTGCGTGAAAAATCTGTCACTCGATGGGAAAACAACTTGAAAATGCTTTAAGTTTTCTTGTCAGTTCCCCGCCTCAGAGGACGGCCCATGCAAATTAGCCAACAAAGTTGTTATCATCGAAGACCGTAGTGACAATCCCGAAGCCATTGGGCAGAACCCCAGCAACGCCTACACCAAAGTAAATCCTTAGACCCTGGAACCCAGACAAGTCCTACACCCTTGGTGCTTAGGAGTGATGCTGGGTTCTGGGTCCGTACTGAAGTGGTGTTGATGATACTATTATCTTAAATCGCGAAGGGAACAAACGGCGCTGAGATCCAGGGAAAGCTGTCACCGGACGCGACCACTTCAATTGTCCTTTTCGGCAAAAGCATTTACAATTCATAGATAGAGGCGAAAAAATCGTTTTATTGGCTTTAAGGTCCTTTTTGTCGCCTCAACGACATGAATAAAGGAGACCCCCAACAACAAGGACATAAACCGCAAATAACTTGAACACTCCGCAAGGGCCAGAGGGTTCCCTTTGTTATTGCATTTCCCTGTGATTTGTGGTCTTTCGGGGGCGGCGGAAGAGTTTGGATTTTACAATTTTTTCGCTGCCTCCTTGGCACAGTGGGCACAACGTGATGGAAGTTGTGGGAGAAATAATATTTTGAAAATTTTGAAAATTTGAAAAGAAAAGTTTGGGCCAACCAACAAATTCCATAAATTGCAACTGAACATGTTGAAAATCACACCAATTTAAAGAATCATTTCGTTCCACTGTCCCCCACTCAAGCGAAAGGGGTGCAAATGCTGCAATTTGTAACATTATTTGTTTTTCTTTTCGGTTAACACCCCAACTCTGAGAGCAGAGACCACCCGCAAAGGAGCATTGCTTCAAGACACAATGCTATCTAATCTTGTTTCGTATTATTTTTGCGTTAAACCTGCATTTCAGCACTTTACCCTCCATGGCAGTACGAAGAAGTTCCCGCCAGCTATTGTTCGGGAATGGTCTTTAATAACGAGAGAAAACTTTAAATCTCTTTGGAGCAGACCTCACCCTCGTAAGGATAATTTTAATGATATTTACAGGAAGTGGCAGAAGAGCATCAATCATTTGTCAGCCATAAAAATTCGTCACACACGAGTATTAAATTATACAACAGCAAAAAATCAGAAATATCTCTCTCTCTCTCTTGTACAAAAAAGAGGAAAAATCCTTAATGGTTGCGTGCAATGAAATGACCTTGTAAGTTATGAGACCTACGGCGGACCCTGGGCCCAACAGTTGAGCGCCAAAAAGAATTCGGAATGAGAGAAGGGGAGAAGTCAACCCAAGGCAGGGTTCAACGATGAACGGTCATTCCATTGAAGCACCAAATGGGATTGGTTGGGATTGAACGTGGTCCTTTCCTGTGGTACTCCTGCACTTGTCCACCGTCCCCGATGTGTGTGCATGGGTCCTTCACTTCACTGTGTGCCCACTCATATGTGAACATTTATTGGAAAACATTATTATTTATGACTTTTTGAATGACATCGCTTGAACTTTTCAAGCAATAAAGTAACGCACAATAATATTTCCCTTCAGCGGAAATTGTTCAAAAATAAAAAAGCCTGCCAAAAAATTAAAGCGATTTTCGAGTTTTGATTTATGAAGATATTCATTAGTCCAGCCTGATTGGAATAGTGTAAAAATATCCACATGATTTATGGCAAATGGGAAATTTTATTAACGATTCAGTTTACATTATGGAAAGATTTTTGGTTGAATTCCTGCGGGAAATGCAGAGAGATTTTAAATTTGTACAGATATCTAAATGCAAGTTATTCATACTATAAGTCCGGATATAGTATTATATAGATTACTAATCGTATAATTCCCTTGAAATACTGTATGTTCACAACTTTTAACTTTCTATAATCTCAAGTCTTTGCTTTCTTTGGCTTAAGCCAAAGATACAAATTACCAAATAAATTTCCATGCAATCTTAAATGAAAATCTTGTGGAACATTAACCCAAACAATCAATGCTCAACCCCCATCCACACAAACAGTTAAAGGGTTTTTGGGGGGATCAGAGTTAGAACAAGTGAGGGATGCGTTTCGCTTAAGATTTGATCAAATAACCATAAGGAAAAGGATTATTTTAAGTAATTGCTAGACATTGTTTAGTCGAACGCCCAGAAGCAGACATGTAAGGTATATTTTCTGTGTAAATTGGGTTCGAATTTAATGTGAAATATCACAAAAGCTAAAGAACCATTTGTTTTTATTTACTCAACCAATACGATTACATAGTCAACTTCAACATCAGCTTATTTACTGCTTTTTATAGGATATATGTACATATACATCTGTTTATATATCCGTTTTATATATGTTAGATGCGGGCTCCAGGCGCATGACCCATTCCTGAACTCGTGCAATGCTTTTAGCAGGCGAAGGCGACACGAACTCTGGGCTCGCTCTCTTTCAGTTTCTCTAAGCTCTATGCAGTATAATGCCATCCTTGTCGTCTATCAATGTGTGTATCTGTGTGTGGGGACTACGTATCTGGGTGTGTATAGGGTGCAGTGGAGTCAAAGTGTAGATAGCAAGCTGCCATAGGACGACGACGACAACGATGTTGAATACATATAAAAATGTCTAAGGTGGAGCAGAAGCCATGACTGCGGCCATGACAGCGATAATGTATACGAGTAGGGGGGTCCGCTGACTGGGTCTGAGGTGGAGGGAGACCTGGCGAAGTTGTAGGGTTGCCAGGTTGCTGCGCTGGTTTTAGCCACCTCCCAAGCCCCACAATCCATTCAGCCAACCGTTTCGCTGTCTCTTCTCCTTTGCCTTTGGTCTGCCATCTGGGGTCTGGGGCTGGGGGCCCCGGTTCACTTTGTGGGTATTAAGTTCGTTTTAATGCTAAAGACAAACGGCTCGCCCTCCCTCTCTACTTCTTTGGTTGCACTTTTTGTGGGCCTGCCAAAAGAAAGAAATCTCTACCTCTGCGTATAGGTGAGTCGAGAGAAAGAGAGACTCTTTAAAGTTGCACAAAGGGGATTAAGATGGTTTGTGCATAATTAATCAGTTGAGTACCTGACAATTGGTAGGTCCTAATGGAAACCGGGGAGTTTGATTTCATCTAAGGCAGAAAAATGGACAATTTTCGGACCCCTCAGATCCTCCACAGTAGGTATTTCGACTGTTGATTTGGCTCCAGAATATTCAGTCTTCGCTAAGCAGTTTATTTTTTCTTCTTAAAATTACAGCCAAATGGAGGGTTGAATTTGTTAGATATTAATAAGATCCCAAGTTGTTTCAAGGAATAACTCTCAAATCTTAGTTCTATAGTGTAAGAAATTCCTTTATTCTGCTTTGATTTTTTAATATTATATTTACTTTGTGGAATAAAAAAGAGCGAATCAGAGTTTCCAGACCAACCTCAAACAGTTCCTAAAAATACATTCAAGACAAACACTTTCTCTTGTAGCATTCATCAACAGAACTCAATGCATATCTATCAATATTTTGTTTACCCAACTTGGAAGCCAAATCAAATCCCTTCAAGTCATTTTTTTATGACGCACTTTAGTTAAACGATGTGACCGAGTCCAGGGGTAACTATAGCCCATGGAAAATGGACTCCCGGGAGCAACGGCAACCCCAAGAATATGTATGTATGATGCAGCTGCCCAAGCTGAGACAGCCCTTCCTTATCCGTCTGTTCTTTGGGGAATTTGTTTTGGTGCGATGGCTTTTTTTTGTGGCCGCTGTTGATGGGCCAAGCGGGAGACTTTTGTTTTATCGAGAGCAATACATCAGAGGCCATCAATATGATTAACTCACATGGAATGTGCCAAAGTGCCGAAAATCAAATTAAATTGCCCTGATGTACAGTGTTAGTGACACATCCGAGTGGACGGGCAGTGGACAGTGGACGTTTTCTTGATTTATGCATTACAAATCGATAGTTTGTGTTTGTCCTTAGAGAAAAGGGATAAGTGTCAGGCGGTAAAATATAATATATATTCACTTCTTCAAGATATTCGTATAGGAAATATAAAAATGCTTCTTGATATTATGGGGACGTCGCCTTGTCACTTGACTTTCGTACGTTGTTCGTACTTGTCCTCAAAGAATTTGAAGACCGAATCAATGGCCGAGTACGAGGTCCACTCATGCTTGGTATGGCCCGCCGAAACACGTCGTATTTTATCGCTTGACGAGGAAATTGGCGTGTCCAGCGGAGAGTTGCTTGCGACCCAATCACAGGTCACATCGTGCAGGTAATTCTTGCAGTCGGACTGAGGACTGCCCATAACCGCATCGGTGAGAGCGATAGCAAAGACCTTCTCCTTGAAGAAGTCCAAAAAGTTATTCACCTGAACGGAGGCAATATATTAAAATGTATTGAAGGAGGTTTCATCTGCAGAATATTACCAAATCGATTGTCACATAGCCTCCATAGCTATGTGCCACTATGGCCACACTCTCTGGGTCCGAGGGCAATACAATATTCTTCCACACGTACTTGGCGTGCTCCGTGGAAGTCTCCACGCCCTTTATCGGATGCTCTTTGCCATTATAGAACCGTCTGCAATCGTTTGTATTGGTGATTAGGATATCATAGCCCAGTTTCTGTGCCTGTCGTATGTAGGGCATCTGAGATCCATGATCCAAAGAATTGTTGATGATAAGGCTATGAAAATGTGCATAAGTGAAATAAGTTACGTTATATTTTATGGTTTTGTATGGCCCCTGAGTGGGCTGCCCTCCCAAAGGGCTTAAATTATATACTTATCGGCGTCCCATATGGGGATTTGGTTTTTCCCCCACAAAATTACTCACCTCCTGGCCCACTGACCCGCTCGGACCTCTCCGCTGCCATGAATGAGCACGAGTAACTTCTTGGACTGCGCCAACTTCGCTGGTTGAGAGTACACGAAGGACGAGCGATCTGGAGGCTTGCCGAACGGTATGTATGTGCGACTCAGGCCACTCTTCTCCAGCAGCGAATAGATAATGTTTGGTATTTGCTAGAGATATCATAAAATTGGAATAAGCTTGCATAGAAGTATCTAATTGGGACACGTACCTTTGCGAGATTCTGATAATGCTTCTCGTTATCATTGGCATCATCCTTAATGTCGTAGATGTACGGCTCCTTGCCTGGCTTCCCCGTGACTGGATCTATCTGACGTAGTACACCACCTACACAGACATTATCATAGTTAATAGGTATCTTCATTGTCTATACTATCCCACTCACCTGCATCGAAAGCATAGCCAAATTCCTTCAGCTTGGCAATCGCCTCAGCACAATTTGTTTGCTGTGCGGTGTCCGTCATGTCGCAGTATCTGAGAGGGCGAAAGAAGTGAAAGATTCTATTCCACACATTGTTCATGTTTGCACTTGGTCGCACTTACAGACTAACAATTTGTGGGTCCCAATGTTCAATTTATATCCAATTGTTGCTCGTTTTGCTCGCTTTGTTGTGCTTTCGACCCGGCGATAGGCGGCTAGGGATGGTTGAAATTATATCGATATATAGCAATGTAGTTGGGTCACGTAAAGAAACTGCTGTTGCACAGTGGTACAATAGGCCCACATTTTGACAATATACAATATGATATAAGATATTTCTGTGGGGGAGTGCTGGTGGCAAGGTTGATTAAATTCCGGCTGCGGCCTGAAATTCTTGCAAGCGATTATTAATACCATTCTGATCAGCTGTACAATTCGCATTTTTCAAGCTTCTGACAAAATGTTGACCACTTGTGGACTACTGTGCGTAGCCAGCAATTTTACATGCTCGTATCGATATTTGTGTTGGATAAATATCGTATTAGTGTTGCATCGTAAGCTGTTTTTATTTGCGCGGTAAATCAAATTTAACTTCTACTTCAAATCACATTCATTTCATTCATTTCGTCTCGTATCCAATTCCCATACATGCTGATGCGGGTAAATGCATAGGGTTGTCCCTTCTGACAAGCCTTTCTGCCATAGGAAAGCAAGCCGTACAGATAGTGTTTGTTACCATCCACCAAGGGTCCACCGGAATCGCCCTGGAACGAGGTTTTTATAAATTTTCCCACCTAGTATTTAACAATTAAATATATGAATGTGGTTTTACTCACATCACAGGCACCACGTCGAATTCCCGTGTGCACGGCACACATCTCTGATCTTGTGAGAAAGACGAATTTGTGAGTAAGCCGGCACTCTGTGTCCTTGATCGTCTCGAAGGGTACCAAGTCCAGATCTTTTTTTTCGCCACGTTTCAAACGCCCCCAGCCCAAAAATGTGGCATTTATCCCGCCACCTCGTCTAATTTCTTTGTACTTAATAATGCTAAATCGAACATTGTCCAACTGGAATTTCGGCTTGACGCGCAGCAAGACGATGTCATGTCCGCGAAGCAGCTTGAAATCAGGATGTATCTTCATCCTGTCAACTCTGAAGCGTGTCTCATTCATGCTGTTTAACGTATGGGAGCCACCCACGACAAACAATTGATCCGGCTCGAGGGGCGTGGGCTTTGTAACGCAATGTGCAGCCGTCAACACGAATTGGACATCGATGATGGCTCCACCGCAGAGATGCTTGTAGTATCCTTTGGTGTTCTCCTGTATGGACACTACGTAGGGAAAACCAGTGGGCACAGTTTCAGTGTCCTCAGCAATAGAAGTTTCTACTTCTTTGGTCAAAACTATCTCATTGCTAATGTCATTTGCATTTATACGAAAGCAAAAAGCCATCGCAAGGAGAGAATACCAATAGACCATGGCGGAACGTTTGTCGCTGACAGAATGCCATGGTTTTTCCTTGACGTGAACGTTCTCCTAATGGATAATGGATAATGGATACCGATGAACCATGCAGCGTGTAATTGACACGTTCAGGTACACGTACATACATATACGATTAGGTTTAACATTTATTCTGAATGCAAGTTAAGTTGTAACTTATTTGTAATCTCACAGAGAGCGAGAGATAAAACGAAGAGGCTTCTCCTGGATCTCTTATTTATCAATCATTTAAAAATAAAAATCTTAAACGGCTGGATTGGCCGGGGCTGCTGCTTCCCTGCTATTCTCATTGCCCACATAGTTGAGGCGAGCCAAGCGCTTTAATGTCTCCAGCTCCCTGACAAATGTGGCCACGGCATCTTTGGTCACCGAGATGTCTGCGTCCTTCAGATCATTAAGGATGTCCTCATTTTCTAGCTCTGAAAATGAACATTCTGCTATAGTTTTCTGCTTCATTTAAACATTGATAGCTACTCACCATCCATTTCGGCCTCGATTTCGTTGAGACGATTCAGGACCAGGGACTGCTGCACCTTTACATGCTCGATTAAGCGAAACTGACACTCCTCGGGATCGATGGCGGCCTCGGGCTGTGGGACATGGGGAAAACCAGGTTGCTCTGGCTTTGAACGCTTCGAGGGTGACGCTGAGGCATCGCCCTGCTCCTCATCCCACCGCTTGGCCCACAGATACAGCTTGGGATGACAGCGATTGCGGGAAATGTTCATCTTCACACGCAGCGAGTGCATCGCGCGTTTGACATCCAGCAGATTGCCAGTGAGCGTGTGCGAGCGCTTAAGCAGCTCTGACTGCTTGCCCGTCAGTGGATTGGTTGTGTGATACGCGGCCGCTGGAAGCTTGCCATCGAACAGCCACTCCTGATCGTGTTTGTAGCGCATCGACTTGCGCACCCGTGGGGGATTGCGGCAGATGTAGCAGACATACTTGTCCGGTACCTGGGACTCGTTGACAATGCCATTGCAGCCCCCATGCTGCCAGCTCAGGCACAGCTCGCACTGGATCATCAGGCCATCCTCCTCGCCGTACTCACAGATGCAATTGATGATCTCCTCCTGACGCATGCGCACAATTCGAATCAGTTGTCCATTCTCATTGATGTACTGCGGCGCCTTGCCAGGCGTCTCCGTCAGCGGCGGAGCCACAGCCGCGTTGATGTCTGCCTGATCATTGGACGAGGGTGTCGACACTGCGGTGTCCGCTGTGGCAGGTGAGCTGCTGGGCGTTGTTCCCGCTAACAATCGACGCTTCTTAGCTTCGGGGCGCCCCTCCAGCGTAGGCGTGTTCAAAGATTTTTGCATCTCCTCGGTGGTGTCCGGATCAGCAGTGGTGGGTCCACCAGTTGTGGGATGGACCGGACGACGCCGTGAGCGCTGGCGATTGCTCTTGCGGAATCCCGACGAACGTCTTGAGGAGGAATAACGTGGTCGCTTGCCTGAGCGACCAAGTGGCGAGTCCGGCGGCACTGCTGGCGAGGGGACTGCTGCAGTAGCACCAGCGCCAGCTCCAGCAGCACTCACTTTGGGACTAACTAGAGGCTCTGGGGTCCCAGTGTTCTCAGCTGCCGGCAAGGGCGTGGCCGGTTTTTCTACATTGGGCGAGGACTGCGATTTAGTGGGTGAAATGCCCGTTGGAGTCCCTGGAGTTTTAGGCGATGGTGTCGCTACCGGTGTGGATCCTGGTGTTGTGCCCTGGCGCTTAAAGGATCGCGACTGCTGCATATCCTGCTGATGCATCTTGGCAAAGAACTGCTGATTGGGTATTTGATTCTTGGGCACAGCATCGCCCTGCTCAATGGAAGAGGCATGGGTCCGCTTAACAGCCAGCTCCTGCATCTTGGGACAGTGGCTGACATATCTGTGGGCAGGGTAAAATATTGAGCGATCTTTCCTGCTTTATGGGCAGAACAAACTCACTCGGCAAACTCCTTGTGGTAGTGACGGATGTGTATGAGCAGAACATCCTCCTTGCGATACGTTTTGCCGCATCCCTCGCCCGGGCAAACGAACAAATTATCCACGATGAAAACCTTCAGGCCGCCAATAAAAGCTAAACAAACAAAGTGTCGTTATAGAGGGAATCCTGACGGTGGAGTTGCTCTGTTTTACTAACCATAGCCATTCTCGACCAGAACCGTGCCCTGTTCGTCCACAGGCACGTTCAACGAGGTGCCACTGCCAGTGGCTTCTGGCATGTCAGCGGTTGGATGGCCATCATCTGTTAGATGGTTCTGTGGCGACATGAGCTCTGCTGGTGGCCTGAGTGAGGCTACGGGTGCCTCCATATACTGAGCGTCCTCGGGACGGGCCGGTGCATCTGCTGCCAAGGGTGTCGCGGACATATCTGACAATGTTGTGTTGCTCTGGTCCATGCTGCTGTCCAGCGACGAGACATTCATTGTCTTGGGCTTGTGCGGCGGCTGTGGACTGTAGTCGCCAGTGTAGACGTAGGCATTGATGTCCTTTGCGCGACGGCGATGAATGCTAAAGTCATACACGTCCGGATTGTAGACGAATCCCTGCGACTCGAGAAACACTTTCAGATCTGACTTGGAGCGGAATCGTTTGCCGCTGGGCGAGACCAGAATGACATCCCACTTTCCCAGGACATTCGAGCGTTGATACATGTGCTTGATCCAGCCGGGGGGCAGACGCCAGTCCTCCACAATCACCGTGGGCTTCTGGTGCTCGCCCACAATTAGAAAACCTTCGGTGCCAATCGGCTGATCGTTCACCCAGTGGCAGGTCCATTCCCCATCGTGCGGTATCTCCGGCAATCCCAGAGCATCTGCAAAAGCATCAAGAAAGGATCAATGATGGGGTCTTGCTTTTGGACTTGATGCACACATACCGATATCCAAGCTAGACATGTCGAGCAGTGGCCAATCCTTGCGCTGTGAGGTCTTGCTCTTCTTGCTGCTCGAGGCACCACTGGCACTGGCAGGGCCAGTGCTTGCCCTCTTCACGGCCGTCGTATTGGCTGGAGCAGTCTCCACGTCCTCAGCGGCAGCTGGCTTCGGCAGCTTGTTCATGTGCACGGCACGAACGTTCTTGGAGTAGCCATCGTCAAAGAGTACCTCGTAGGTGTCGTGGCCCAGCAGCTTCTTGATGGTGCCCGGAAACTTACGCGGCCCCGACCAGCGAGCCATGCATTTCTCTTCCAATTCGAACACTGGTAGGATTCGGTTGCTGACGCGTTGTCGTACGCGTTCCGATTTGATGGCCATCCACTCCTGATAAGAGCCGCTGGTCGAGGGCATCACCTTTATCTTATTGTTCCGCTCGAAGCGGATGAGGAGCGTTTGATCCGTTTCGTTGACCTCCACAATGCGAGCGGGCAGCCAAGAGCCATCCACGCTTTTGGCCTCGAGTCGTGCTCCTATTATCAAATTATGGGGATTGCTGTATTTCGGTTCGTTGCTTGTGGAAGGCTGCGGAGAGTCTGCACTTTGTTCGGCAGCTCCAGCCGCTGCTGTTTCGCCATCATTTGGGGGAGTTTCGGTTGAATCCTCTCCAGTCGAACTACTCTCTTTGACGGCGCTCTCAGCCCCTTCGGCGGCAACTACTTTGGCCACTTCCATCTCCTTATCCTCACTGACGACTGCTTCGACAGCTGCCGTGGCATTACGCTCCGCTGACTCGGCCATGATTTGCGAAACAATTTGATCCACAGTTGCCTTGATCACATCCTCATTGCCGGAACTGCTTGCAGCGCCCGGAGCGGCTGTGCCGTCCACATTGACCTGCTGAAGAGCACGATGATCGGCCTCAATTTCAGAGGCATCCATTTTGCCCCATGGAAAAACCGTGGGAAATACGCGCGGCTTCAGCAAATATTTCCCATTGCGTATGGCATTGAAATCGACTCGTCGAAAATGGCGCGAGCACACCAGAACGCTCTTCGTAATCTGCCTGTCCAGGCTGATGCGCGAGTTCTTGATCCAAATGGTCCGGATAATCGGGTCGAGCGGAAACGAGTGATATGTGACGCCGTGGTGCTCCAAGAGACGCGACGTCGACGGGCACTTGGCTACGCAGCAACGTCGTCCCATTTTGCTTTTACCTGATGTACAAACGAAACCTTAACTTACTTTAACTATTTATTAATGTTTAAATAAACGCTTACTTTGCTTAAAATGAAATTAATTCCGAAAAAATGTAATTCGGCGAAAAAAAACACGGCATTAGTGTGACCCAGCGTGACCGCGCCGATAACGATAAAAATACCATCCGGCCAAGAAATAAATACCATTAAATACCAATTCAATTTCGAGAAATACCATTTTAACACCATACCATCAACTTAACCCACTAAAGATAACTTTATTTAATAAGAACCCTTTGTTAAATCGCGGAAAATAATACTGTTTGTAAAGGCTCCTTGTAGATCCATCCTCCTTTTTACTTACACAACAAAACTGACCACCGACATCTTTCACCTGTAATGCGTAAAATATGTTAAAGTTATATAAATTTCGTGGGAATATTAAATACCCCCCTGATCGACAATGGGATAACGTTATATTTTATTGATTGAAATCGTATTCCATGATTCAGGCTTTAACAAAGTTCAAACTTTGACCCTGAGAAATATACCAACAATACCAATAATTACATTGTACGGCAACACTGAAATGTTATCAGGGCAGTATTTCAGGAATCGAGTACGGCAACGCTATTTATAATAGTCGTTACATTTTAAATTCAATTGGACAGGCTCATCCAGTAGAAGGGAAGGACTACACTGCACCACATCGACTGTATCACTTTTATTTCTGTCTATCATGCAAAAGAATGTCAACTTAGAGGGTACAGTACAACTCCTTAACTATGGACAACTGAGATTTATTTATTTTAAGTCTTGATCTTTGCAATTAAGCCAAGTAAGCGTCCTCATAAAGATGTCCAGCGCATAAAATATCACGTGCCACCGCTCCAAGGCCAACACTCAATCGCAAAACCTATTTGAAATGCAATTAATGTACGCCTATGGGCTGCTTACACGTCCACACGTCCGCCTTTAGGCAGACACCTTCGCAAAAAGTTGACCAAAAACAAAAGAGTCATACGAAATCGGCCATTCCAAAATGCTTCTGGAACAATGCGTTACAACATTTTATTTTTATTTTTTGCCCGAGCATAAGGAGCTTCGGCATATTGCTTAAATATGCGATCTGTATTATTTGTAATTAAAATATCTGCCATGTGCATGTTTTAGCATTCAAGCAACAGCAGAAAATGGTGACGGCATGGCGCCGCCTGCCGTGATGGGGTCTGGTCAGGTGCCAAAATCAAAGTTCAAATGATATCAACAGCCTTGGCCTTCAAAAGTCGAATATGTGAGGAAAATATTGGCAACTAATGAAACCCATTTTGCTGGAGGTAAATTCCGATCAGAGAATGTTTCTAACTAAATGATAGGCATAGGCATAGTAGCTATTCTTTATTCCCCAAGAAACCTTGTCTCATTTCCTCTTTTGACCAAGGTCTCTGGGTCAGCAGGTTCACCTAGATCTTTGCTGTATTTCCTATACCAAAAATCAAAATTTGCATCGAGCCAATACCAAATAATGCTAAAATAAACAAGCAATACAAATATTTGAAACCATATCACGGCTCAAGCATAAAGCAAACTTTAATTACAAAATTTTTTTAATGGAATATTGCAGCTGACATAAATAATAAATACGCAGTGCGAGCAATTGTTGTTGCTATGCCGGATAATTTAGTTTTTAACTTTTGGGCAGCCCAAAACTGACATTGAGCCCAAACGCTTTGGGGGGAAATCCGAATACGAATAAACAAAATTTAAATGGTTTTTTTTTTGCATAAGTAACTAACTATTACTGAAAAATGTTTGCATAAATTATCGACACTTGTGGAAATTGGGACAACTGCACCTGAGCTCACTCTCTTTTTGTGCAAATAATTAAACAATATGTAACTTGTGCAAAAATATTTTCGAATATGAAAAACAACGAACAACCCAACCAACCGACAGCGGCGGCACTTTCTCCTTTAATATTTACCCAACTCATCGACAAATTGGCCAGGCCAGGCCAGGCCCAGTCCCCAGGGCCCAGTACAGCACATCACAGTCTCGTCTCCATCTCCATTTTTGGCCCCAGCCTCAGCATCAGCCTCAGCTTCAGTCCCAGTTCCAGGCCCGTCCCCCGTCTGGGAACCCATTGCGTAAATGTGTCTGTTTGCGATGCGGTAATTTTTGAATAGGCTTTGCTGCAGCTCTTGATGTATTGACAGTTGGACCCAGTTCCCAGTTCCTTATCACATACATAAATATGCCCACAGAAATAATCATTTAATGTTGATGATGTTTAAAAGTGACCCGAGGAATCATGTAATACATAAAGTTCACAAAAAAATTAAACAAATTATGTTTACATAAAAAAAAAAAAAAACTAAAGAGACGTGTTTCAAATTTTAAATGGATTGCCTAATTTTTTATAATTTTCATTATTTTTTTTGTATTTGTTTTAGCTGTGAACAAATGCACGTAGAGCAATTTGAATTTGAAATTTAATATTTGGAATTTCTCAATGATACAACACTGGCGGGAATTCGTAATTGTAAAATGAAGAAATTTGTACCTTGAAAATGTTTAGTGGGAAAATATTTGACTTGATTTTGAAATTGAATTTTGAAAAAGAAAAATGTGAATTATTTTAACCTATGACTTACATATTTAAGAGCATGGAAAACGACTTATTTTGAATGGAAGACACATTGTCTAAAACTATATTTTCCCACTTGACCCATTTCCCTTGAGCGTTTTCCTTTCAGCTCAAAAAACTCCCCTCCAAACTACACTTCTTCGAAACCCTTGCCAAAAAAAAAAATAAAAACCAACCAACTCATGAAAAGTAAAATTCAACCGAAATTCCTCAAAAAATCATGCGCAAACATGGGCGGGGCTGCGACCTAGCGGAGCATAATCCGCATCAAGAGGTGCCGGTGCCCCGGAGAAGTGTCAGGTAAGGTAATGAGCGGCACCTGCCTTCGTATAACTTTTGCCGTTTTACCGATTGTCATAAAATAACAACAAATTTCACAGCAACAGTGAGACGCAAAGACGGAGCAGGAGTCGGAGATAGCTTTTTGTTGTTGTTGTTGTTGTTGTTGTTGTTGGTGGAGCTCGACATGCTCTGCCGCACGTGAGGTGAAGCTGCAAAGAAGTGGATGGACGGACGGGCCCACTGATCGGGGCAATCATGTTGAAATGCGTGAATTGGGTTCGGGCTTGTGTGTTTGGGTTTACTCTTCACTTTCCACTGGTGAAATTTTCGTACTCCACTCCACGCTTATGACCTTGATCAGGGTCCAAAGCTGAGACTGAGACTGCGGCTGGGGCTGGGGCTGAGCCGCGCAGCTTTCAGGAGAAAAGACAAGTAAAGTAGATGGGGCCCGCATCATTTCTTATGCTTATGCAATGGCATGTGCCTGGAGGTATTATCTTCTGGCTGTTTATGAGTATGTATGTGCATTATATAATGTTTGAAAACACTTGTAACGCGGTTAATGGGCCACAAACCGCACCCTATCGATTTTTGGGGATAACTAAAAGATTATCTTTGATTTCTAGAACTCCCTCATTCGCTTCCGGTAAACTTATTCTTCACTAACTTTGGCTCTAAATTTGTCAGGCAGAAGCAGAGTTCCTATAGATTTTCAGGGAGTAAAATATGGTAGAACCTTCCTTGACCTCGTCTGAACCTAGTCCCAATCATGCAATAAAGATATCCGCCATTAATGAATAGAGCTGTATGTCACTTACGGCTTTCATTCAAAATCAATTTCTGGTCAACAAGTTGAAGCTTCAGGATTATGCAACCAATCCACCGAAACGACAAAAGCAATGCTAAAATATATACGTACGTACATATTTCTGAAACAAAACAAATACGAAACACACACACCAAACAACAGCTCGAAATGCATTCAATTATGCAAATTGTCCGAAGACAAACACACACCATAAAAATACGAATTTGCTGTGCCAAAAAAAAAAACAAAACAAACAAAAAATAAGGCGACTCTGGCGTTATTGTGTGGCTAATTAGATGGGGAGTTAGGCCAATCCATACCCATTGGAGCCCATTCAAAGCTAAGTGGTGCAAAAACGATGCTATCCACCTCTCCTCCAGTTTCGACCACTTAACATTCAAGATTGCATGCAACGCAGAGCCAGACGCTGCGGCCAACAAATTTTCCACACTGAAAAGACCAGACCCTCTCCATCGGAAAGCCAAAACCCCACACATCCACATTGGGGCTGGCACTGACTCTCTTCTGTCTCTCACTCTCTGTGTCTGTGGCCGAATCGAATCGAGTGGAGTGGAGTGCCATGCCTGTGCCAGTTGCTGTTGCTGTTGCTGTGGCTTTGGCCATATATAAATCGGGCTGCTGACAAAATGTTTGTGTCATTCCCAGTTGATCAGAGCTAGCCGAACGGTCGAACGGTCGCGTGTACCAGAAAACAGTCGCATCCCAATAAATTGTGCGTGCGTGTGCGTGTCTTGATAAAGTGTTGAAAAGAAGCAGAGAAAATGAAAGCTTTCATTGTCGCCGGAGTGTGTTTGTTGAGTGTACTGGGTCTGGGCTCTGCTCAGTTCCAGAACGGTCGCCTAGAGCCCCCAAATCCCCAGCTGTGCGCCCAGCGCATCATCCACGAGAAGACGCCCGATGGCAAGGGGTGAGTGCCAGAGTTCATATTGTGGAAATTCTTATAACTAAATTTTCCCCTACTTTCTGTTCTTTATTTTGTGAATTATCAGATACTTCTTCTCTTGGCGTGACCCCCAGTTGAAGGGCGTTGAGGAGGACTGGCTGACGGCCAGGAACTATTGCCGCAGACGCTGCATGGACTCCGTGTCGCTGGAGACGAGCCTGGAGAACGAATGGATCAAGCAGCGTGTTGTTGGCGAGAATGTAAGTACAGCATAGAATATAGAGGGCATATAGAGGGGAGAAGGAGTTATCTTAAAAATATGTGGATTAATGCACTTCAGTCGGAAAGCAATTTTACTCGAATTTCCAGTCACGAAATGGGATTTTAACAGTTTAATGAGCTTCTCATTGTCTTGGGAAAAGCTGTGTATTTGAGTAATTAATATGCGGATATTCTCAGCATTTCCATACAATACAGATTCTATTTATAAATTTGGTTAATCAATAATCATATTGGACTGATATTAATTTTTCGATTTTTAAAGAAAATTTCATGGGCATCTAATAGAGAAATCAAAAGACTCAAGCCACAAACTCGTCATTGTATTTAAACCTCTTTCAGAGAGAAGAACAAAACTGTTTTGATAAGGAAGAAAACCTTTGAAAAACGTCAAGAACGAAGTGGAATTTTCGAAAAATGCTTTTTAAAATTATATGCAAAAGGAATTCCCAGCAATTTTAAAAGTATAAATACAGTAAATAAAATTATTTTCAATTTTAATTAGCACACAATTTAACTGCACACTAAGAAGCATAAAAATGCTTTTGAAGCTCATTAAAAATTCCACTTAACCAATTCCAAAATATATAGAAATTTTACAATGTGTTGCACACATTTTCTATACACGAAAATTTAAATTAATTAACACATAAAAAAGTGCTAAATATATTTCCCAATAATATATTCCCATTTCTTGGAAACAAAAGTTCCCCAAATAAACCCACTCGAATCAATTTAGTGGTTTCCAATTTCATTCGCACCACAACATCAAGTCAACAAATCGTTTATGTCCACCCCAAAACCCAATTGTTATATAAACCCCCACTCGGCCAGACACTCAGCCGCACTCCAGACACTAGCCAGACAATGGCAATTGGCTCCACATTCACTGCACCTGTTTTATCAACTTGTTGGGGTTTGATTGATCCAACAAATAATCGAGATAATAGAAACATTTCTGCAACTCATTGACTATTTATAAGTCGTACCAGCGAAAGGTAACACAAATGCACATAAATATACCTTTACGAGTATGTTGCCCGTGCACCCCATTAATAAAACTAAACCATATCAATGTGGAATTTTACACCTTCAAAATGAAGTGGAAGTCAAAGAGATTTGCCAATAATTTATGATGTCTGCCGTTTAACAGTTTTTGTTTGTGTATTTATTTTTGGTTTTTGCATGACATTATGTCACTTCTCGTTTGTGTTTGACTTTCGTTTAGTCACATGTGAACTCTGGGTATGGGACGTGGGGCTCGGCTTTTATTTCCGAGATCTCACAATATGAGATTGACCTTAATTTTTCGGATGCAGAGGAAATATACAGAAAAAATACATTGCGAAATCTGACATTAACATCGCTGCTCTACAAAGTTCAATGTGAAATTACACATTAAAAAAACCACATAAAAATCATAAAAATACAACAAACACTTTCCCAGTTGTTTTGTTGGGCCAATTTCGCACACGAATGGATGGAGTCAGTAGTCTGATGATGACTTATGCAACACCCCATCGAGACGGACAAGTGTCAAGTTTAGAGTTGTGGTCAGGCAGGCTCATCTTCCAATCGCATCTCTCAACTCGCAGCTCCCCAACCAATGGCTCATCTCATGCCAGAGTTACGTGAGAAAGCGGCAAAATTGAAAACGAAAGTTCGCATGTGTATTTGTGTGTGTGTGTGTGTGTGTGGTGTCTGGTGTATGGTGGGAAAACCTTGTCGGAAAAGCAACTAAATGAAATTACTTAAAAAATAAGCAAATTGTGAGCACGCAAACGGATTCATTGCACACCAAATTTTGTGACTAATCAAGCAGGAAGTGAAATTTTCAAATGAGATTAAAAAGAAACTAAAGACTTAAGCCACAAACTTGAGAGAAAACAAAACAAAAATTCAGGAAAATTCTGGAATATTTTAAATATGTTTCAATAAATACTAGCAATCAAATAGAAACCATTTTGATTATTAAACAACAGTCTTTATAGCTTAAAGGATATTCTAAAATATTTCAGTAAATTTATTTCAGTAGATATGAAATTAAATAATAATAAATTATTTAAAAAAATTTCTTAACGAATTAAAAATAATTTTTATTAATATTCATATATTTTGTATGGAATTCTATAACGATTTTCTTTTACCCACTTAGCGATCTAACCAATGGGAACCCATTTCAATTGAGAAAGTTTCCATCATATTTATGTGGTTCTTAACGTTTTCCGTCACCCACTTCAATCAGATTTGGATCTAACTTTCGAATACTCTTTCCTCTTTGGCCATCCAACAAACCCACTTTCCTAATGGATTGTTGTGCCCTCCACCCATATCAACCGGTTAAGTTCACTTTTACTTTGCATTACAATCGAATGCAGCCGACAGGTGGCATGGCACAAAGCACAATTCATTTGGTGCTTCCGCCCTGGGGCACATGCATTCGATTGTCCGACTTGAACAATTACAATAGCGACCCCTGTCCCATGCCCGCCTCGCCACCAGGCGATGAGCCCAGCCCGCAACCGACAAAAGCCAAAATCAATGTCCATAAATTTGTTTCAACTTTACGCTCATTGGAGTTTTCCCAAAAGGGTAGACGGTCGACCGTACCATCTCTGGCTGCCTGTCTGTCGGCCGATTGTCTCTGGGGTTTTTTTTTTCGTCGTTGTATACCTTTTGAACAAAACAATTTTTATGGCCCATCAGGTGAAAGTGACTGATGGGCACAGACCTCAGTGGTTTTGTTCACTTGAAATGTTGACAGCCTCGGGTGCGGCAGGCAGCAGAAGGGCGCGGACATGGCACTGGATTGGGAATGGGAATGGGTTCGCTTTCAGCGCTAAATAATAGTTGCTTGGGCGTGACAGGCCCAAAACAGTTAACTTAAATTTCTATTATAATTTGTCGCTTTTTTTCCTGTTTGATTCGATGGCAACGCTGCATTTTCTTGCGTAGGCGAAGCTGCTTTGAAATCGGCTGGGGGGAAATTGATTTCTGTTTTAGCACCTCCAAAAGATCAATGAACTTTTGGGCACTTTATAGTCAAAAATATCTCAAATAATTCGAATTTCCTTTCCCATTTTCAGGTGAAATACATCTGGACCAGCGGTCGCTTGTGCGACTTCAAGGGCTGTGACCGTCCCGATCTGCAGCCCACGAACATCAACGGCTGGTTCTGGACCGCCACTCTGCAGAAGTTGGCCCCCAGCACCGAGCGTTCCCAGGGCGATTGGTCTCCCACCGGCGGCATTGGCCTGCCCCAGCCCGATAACCGTGAATTCAAGCAGAACGGTGCGCCCGAGAATTGTCTGGCTCTGCTGAACCAGTTCTACAATGACGGTGTCAACTGGCACGATGTGGCCTGCCACCACAAGAAGTCGTTTGTCTGCGAGGAGAACGATGCCCTGCTGAAGTACGTGCGCTACACAAACCCCAATCTGCGTATTTGAGATGAGCTGGGAAGAGAAGTGGGTCCATCCAGGAGCAGCAACACTCTCCGAATAAACCAAAAATGATATTTTTTAAAATGGGAGCTAACCTGAAACGATGATTTATGATGCGGTGCTGCTCCGGATACCTTTCGTACTAGTTACTTTCCGATTGCGAGTGTCCTTAAAAGAGTTTTTTCAGGCTAAACTGCTTTTTTGTAACAACCTTTCGATTCTCTCTCCCTCTTATATTCTGTGTGTGCTTTATTCTGTCTCATCAGTTAGTTTAATTAATTTTGTATTAATTTATGATTTTCTTAAATTATAATAAAAACATTCGAAACGATTTGTAAAAGTAATTACCAGCTTGTATTTTATACTTTTGAAGCATTATTTTTAGAATTTTTAGATTCTACATAAATCATAAACTCACAAACTTATATACTGACTGAGTACGGGTATAAAAGTAGAGTCGCGTCCACAGAAGCGACTCACACGTTCCTTTTCGCTATTTATGATTTTAAAATTTATCAATGTATATTTTCGGGTCTGATAGTAAAATATTTTTGTGGTACATCAGCGGACTTTGAAGAAAAATATTCGACGCTATCGTTGTTGTTTCATAGTTCGCGGCGAAGCATGTCAAACCAATGTCATATAGGACAGGATAACCCTTTTTTTCGGCGTACAGCATTGCCTCCTCGTTGGCAAGGCACCCATCGGCGACAACGGCCGGATCTCCGTACTTCCAATCTGGTTGACACTCAGCGACAGTCACAGTCAGATGGACGGTACGGTAGTGAGTACCATCGATCCGGCAGAGAGCAATTGCCAGGGCCTTCCAGTGGCTGGGCTGATCCTCTCTGGCCATTATCGGGAAGTGGTACTCGTCCATGATGACATAGAACGGCTGCTTGAAGTTCTCCATATCGGTTAATGTTTCCGTTCTCCAGATTCTGTGCTTGAGACGCTCGTCTGACATGATCAAGGGAGGCCACATCTCTCTCTCTGCCTTGGAATTTTTGCATATTCATGAAGAGTGCCCTAAGTCTGTTTATAGCCATGTTGTCCTTTTCTTGTCCTGTTATCTTCAACTGATTTACTGAACTATTTTAGTCCACTATATATAGAACAAAATCTAGGTAGAATCTGCCTATTTTGGAGATTCCAGAAGAACCCCGAACCCCTCAGCCGCTGGATCCCATACAGAAAGGAACAATTTTAACTATAATTAGGAATTTCCAAAAATAAATAAAAAACCGTTGCATTACCACGATTTTACCTAAAATGGAGTAAAATCCTATAAGTTTTCTACCTATTTGTATTCTATTTGTATTCAGTATGTGTACAAGAGTCCAAGTTATAAGGGAGACTTCTGTCCACCAACCAACGCGTAGGTAACCAAGAAGTGAAACAAACAAAAGGACAACGTTAACAGCAAACTAAAAAGTGTTAAAAAGATCAAGTGGAAAGTGTGGAAAGGATTGAGCAACATTGTTTGGCACGGCATGAGCATACCTGCATACCTTGGGAAAATGGATATTATAGACTTGAGATATTGTTTGTAATTTCAGGCTCCAATTAATGTAGAAACTACTCAGTCTCTGTTTTAAAGATATAAACTAAATTTGCAGCTTATGGGTACCAATAATGGGTATCGGGACCGGCATATACATATGTATGTATATACAAAACACAAATCAAATGCATGAATAGGTGAAAAAACATGTCAATCTAAGACAAATTCACTATTAATGTTTCAAAGCAGCTTGGAACAAAAAATTTAACATTTATTAGAGGAAATAGGGTATACAACTGTCCATAAGCATGGCAGACACTTGGTTAACCAGCAACAATGCCGTCACATCCCGGTACACACTTACGTTATATGCTTTGTCCGTTTTTGTTTGAACATTATTATGTAAACAATCCAATAAAAAGGTGTTCTGAAAACTAGCCAAATCTTGTTCAAAATTGATTGAAGAATTGGATAAATATATTTGTCTAGGGCTGAGAAGGCTAACTAGCTAGTAATATTAAACCGAATATCAAAATCGAGGAATATCAACATGTCCGTCAGTATATTTACGGAATATTTCTGGGGTATTTTTGGGGATCATATTTTTTAAACTAAAAATGAGCCGGGGGAGCGTTTTGAGTTCTCTCTTTCGACTGGGTCATGGCAAGGTATGGCCCCAGTATTAGAACGGACAAGCTTTTTTTAAGGGCTCCGTACAAGGATCACCCTGGCCCCGAAGGACTAAATATACCGTGGGTGCCCGAAAGCACAAAATACCCCGCGGTGAGTTATGTGTTGTGGTGGATTTGATCCTTGAAAGCTTTGAATTGTATGACGTCATACGTCACACCCCATACACCCTTATCATTACGGAGCAATCATAAGTTCAAGTTCAAAGCTTGAAACGTGACCAGGTTTTGTGAAATTTTTTCTTATAAATTCAATTTATTTTTTTGCGCGCGTAAATAAAAACAGAATAAAAAATACCGAACAAGACAAAATTCACTAAAAAATCCACCCAAAAATTCAACCATTTGTAGAAAATGTATAGTAAGCGTGTAGATACCATGTACCAACCATGTACAAAATTGACATTTTTGCTGACCTTTGTTCAAACCTTATTTTATAAGAAATCCAATTAATGGGAGTCCTTAAAATAAGCAAAATTGTAGAAAATTGATTCATCTATCTGATAAAATGATATTTTCAGTTGTTAAAGTGCTAGCTAGCTAGTAATATTAAATCGAATATCAAAATTGATGAAGATGATTTTCCTCGGTATATTTACGGTACATTATGTGCAAGTATGGGTATATTTTTGAGGGTCAGACGGTATATTTTGTCGATGAAGCCGCGGTCACACTGCTAATAACTCCTTAAATGTGAAATTGTTTTTGAAATTGATGGATTTAAATTGAATTTAAAGATGGATATCGGCGAACTGTTGGCCTTCAAGGTAGGTGTACATTTTCTTCTTCTGAATAAACATTCACAATCAAGAAAATATGTTCCTACCAGCCTGAGCAGACCCCCAAACGGCCGCACGAGGACGATGAAGACTTTGAGCCAGAGACAACCGCTGGAAAACGGGGCGGTGGCGTTGGCGATGAGAAGGCCAAACGCATGCGGCGAATTGCCGAGGCCAAGGAGACGGCCAATTATGGCAAACAGGCCAGCAGCAGCTCCACCAACGCCAGCCACGCCTTCGAACTGGACCCAGAATTGACAGAAGAAGAGCGGCTGAACATCTTGCGTTATGTGGAGAACGAGGAGACCGATGGCGATGTTTTGGACGAGCAGGGGCTGAAAAAATTGATCTTGGTGTTCGAGAAGCGCAACCTGAAGAACCAGGAGATGCGCATCAAGTTCGCAGACAATCCGGAAAAGTTCATGGACTCCGAACTTGAGCTTCACACAGTCATTCAGGAGCTGAAAGGCGTGGCCACCGTGCCAGATCTCTATCCACTGCTTGTGGAACTGCACGGACTGCACAGTTTGCTGGAGCTGCTTGCACATCAGAACACGGACATTGCTGTGGCCGTTGTCGATCTGCTGCAGGAGGTGACCGATGTCGATATTCTCGGCGAGAGTCAAGAGGGAGCCCAGGCCCTGATCGAGGCCCTGCGGAAGGAACAAATTTGCGCTCTGCTAGTCCAGAACCTGGAACGTCTCAACGAGCAGGTCAAGGAGGAAGCCGACGGGGTACACAACACATTGGCCATCGTGGAGAACCTCACAGAGATCGATGGCGAGTTTGTGCGAGAGGCTGCCGAGCAGGGGCTGCTGGCCTGGCTGCTAAAACGCCTCAAGGGCAAGACTCCCTTCGATCCCAACAAATTGTATTGCAGCGAGATTCTGTCCATCCTGATACAAACCGAGAACGACAACCGCCTTCTGCTGGGCTCGATCGATGGCGTCGATGTGCTGCTCCAACAGCTGGCGGTTTACAAGCGTCACGATCCGGCCAGCAACGAGGAGCAGGAGTACATGCAGAATCTCTTCAATTGCCTGTGCTCCGCTCTGATGGCCAAGGAGAATCGCGATCGGTTCCTCAACGGCGAGGGTCTGCAGCTGATGAATCTGATGCTGCGCGAGAAGAAAATGTCCCGCAACGGTTCGCTGAAGGTACTCGATCATGCCATGGCCGGTCAGGATGGTCGCGACAATTGCAACAAATTCGTGGAGATTCTCGGACTACGCACCATTTTCCCACTGTTCATGAAGACACCCAAACGGAACAAGCTACGCCTGCTCTCGGCCGATGAGCATGAGGAGCATGTCAGCTCCGTCATTGCCTCGATGTTGCGCAACTGCAAGGGCACCCATCGCCAGCGAATGCTCTCCAAATTCAGCGAGAACGATCACGAGAAGGTCGACCGTCTGCTGGAGCTCCATCTCAAGTATTTGGCCAAGGTGGAGGCCATCGACAAGGAGATTGATCAGCAGCCCAGGGTTGGTATACACTTTTTACTTGTGCTTTTATTGGGATACAAAAATTAATAAATGTTTTGTAACAGGATCCCAGTATCGATGAGGACGAGGAAGCGGAGAATAACTACATAAAGCGTTTGACTGGCGGCCTCTTTACGCTTCAGCGGATCGACTACATACTGCTGGAGGTCAGCGCCACCTCGGAGACGGTCAAGCAGCGTGTGCTACAGATTCTAAACCTACGTGGCGCCTCCATGAAGACCATCAGGAGCATCATGAGGGGTAATTTATCTCGATGGCTAATCAAAGATTATGATGATTCTGATGCTGATTGTCAATTACAGAATACGCTGGCAATCTGGGCGATGGCGATACTGACTGGCGGCAACAGGAGCAGACCCACATACTATCTCTAGTCGATCGTTTCTAAGACAACGTAATAAACCACAAAAACTATTCTTGAAACATACAAAACAAATTGCCTATCAAAACTTTTACTAGGGCAAATTCAAAAAAAGTTCATAAAATGTTGTGTTGAACATTTGTAAATGGCAAAATTTGAATTTTTAGAAATTTAAAATTGGCTTGTCCTTAGGCTTGGCCCTGCTACACTCCACTCCCAGCAATCCATTCTATTTTTGTTTTTTTTAGTCCTTGTAGATCCTCCATTTTTGGATATTTTTTTTTGTTGGTTAAGTTTCTTTGCTGGCAAATCGCAGATGTTCTTGGATTACTTCTTGCTTTTCTCTTCTATGCATTTGTCGGTCTTGGTTTTCTCTTTCTTACATTCCTTCTTGCCTTCATCTTTCTTACCCTTGCCCCTAAGGGAACAGGTACAGCAAATGGATATATATATTAGAAATGAATTATGATTGAAATTAACAAATTAATTAACCAATAAAATGTGTTAAGCTTTTATGATTGTTTCGAGTTTTAATTTAAGGCAAACTAAATTGCACAAATAATACACAATCTGGGGAACCACTTTCGAAGCAGTTTCGCAATTTCTCAATAAATAAAAGTTAAATGAATTTGGCAATAATCACAATTGAACCGATGGCCTTTGTTTCTTAATTTTTTACTCTATCTGTTCTGTTTCGTGCACTTTAATGGTGATTAATTAGACGTAGATATATAGAAATTGTTTGGGTGCAAAGAGAACACTCAACGTGCTGGATTATTCGAATTATCTAGGAATATTTTGTATCTTAGGACTGGACTCTCAGCAGTTTATAGGGGGTTTCAACTTTAAACTTAACATTTTTGCAAAAAATTATATCATCATTCATCAACTGTTCCGACCGATCGTTACGAATACATAATGTTCTCTAACTACGAAGCGAAGGCGTCTCTTCCATTGAGTAGTTTGGTTTTGTGTGTTGAGTAAGAGTTTGACTTGTTTGTTGTTTTGTGGTAGTATAGTGGTTGGTTGACTTAGCCATTATTAATCATGATTTATCTACTTTTGGTCGGCGGGAATCTCAAAGTTCACATCCATCTTCATTTCGCGCGCCAGCTTTACAATCTGGGCCAAATGCACGGCCAGATCGGCGGCCTTGTCGAGATCGTCACGAGCCAAAATCTTCAGGCCAGATGCGCGTATCAGTTCGCGAGCCTCCTTCACTTTGGTGCCCTATTAAGAATATCAATATTATATCCATAATCAATGATATGCATCATTCTCAACCCACCTGCAGACGCACAACAATGGGCAAGTTCAGATTCAGATCCTTGGCAGCAGCAATGATACCCTCAGCAATGACATCGCAACGCATAATGCCGCCAAAGATGTTGACCAACAGGCAGAGCACCTTCTTGTCCGAGGTAATGATCTTGAAGGCAGCCTTAACAGCATCGGCAGTGGCACCGCCACCCACATCCAGGAAATTGGCCGGCTCACCGCCATACAGCTTGATGATGTCCATGGTGGCCATAGCCAGACCGGCACCGTTCACCATGCAGCCGATGGTGCCATCCAGGGCAATGTAATTCAAATTGTATTTGGCAGCCTCCACTTCCTTGGGATCCTCCTGGGTCCAATCCCGCATGGAGAACAGCTCCTTCTGACGGAACTCTGCATTGTCATCGAAACGCAGTTTGGCATCCAATGCAAAGACTTAAGAAAGGTTTCAAATTGTTTAGATTTAATGATAGAAATACGTAAGATTCAGATAGTGATTCTATTGATTAATTGATGGAATGATGGTGTGTTAGTTTCATGCATACTCACAGCCTGGACAGAACAATGTGAAATCCCATGATTTGTACAGATAGATTGGGGTTAGGAGGTTTTTGTATGGGTTGTGGGTAGGTATTTTAATGGATTACACAAAAGAGCACTTGACACGAAAACAAATAGCGAACTTACAGCCACTCATGGCATCCTCGGCGTAGGGATTGATCTCCACCAAGAGAGCATCCTTCTTTACGAACAGCTGGTACAGATTGAGCAGCATCTTGATATGCTCATCGGCACCGTCGCCGCCAAGGCCAACTTTCTCGACAATTTTGCATGCCTGCTCTTCGGTCAGACCCTTGGCAATGTCGATGGGCTCGTAGATAATGGCATCGGGATTCTCTTTGGCCACCTCCTCGATATCCACGCCACCCTCCTTCGAGGCAATCAAAACGGGACCCTGCAATAAACTTCTTTAGTTAAATTTCCTTACGAATTTCACATGATTCGACTCACATTGAAGGCACGCTCCATCATGACGGCAAAGTAGAACTCACGGCGGGGGAATTTCCTTTCGGCAACCATCACCTTCTTGCAGATGCGACCGGCGGCTCCAGTTTGCTTGGTAATCAGGAGTTGGTCAATCATTTTCGAGGAAATCTCCTCGGCGCTCTTGGCACTAAATAAGGTATATTAATTATAAAATTCTTCAACATTTAGGCATTAACGTACTCGTAGACCACACGCACGCCGCCCTTTAGGCCATTCTTGAAGGTTCCCTTGCCTCGTCCGCCGGCCAGAACTTGCGCCTTCAGCACAAGATTGTCTGTTTTCAGCTTGTTGGCAATATCACCGGCCTCCTTGCCATTCTTGGCCACAGCGAAGCTGTAACGGATAACAGAAATAAAGTTAAACCAATTTCATAAAGTATAACCCTCCTCCAAAAATGCTTAATCATTCCTTATGGGAAACATATTCTGGTAAATGACCAATTGAACTTGAGACATAAATTATTGATAAAGAGGTCCCATATATGTATAGTATGTTCACTCTTATCATCAGCAGACTCATTCAAGTAAAATGTGTAACCCGTGAAGGTTGGAAATTTGAATATTTCAAGGTTGATCGGTCACCTAGGAGACTGAAATGATTCCCCTAGAGAACAATGATCGTATGATTATGTTTTGGGGTCACCAGATAAGCTAGAAGCACGAGTTTATAAACAAATGAATGTTACACTTAATTCCCCAAACGTATAACTATCACGGGCTTATCTGGACTCACGTCACTGACCCTTGTCACTTAATGCAATCTGCATATACTAGATAGTAACAGCTTATCTCCTCTTATCATCTGCAGTTCTTCTCGGTCTGGGTTCTGCTATTCTTTGGTTTGTTTACCCCAGTCCAGGGACCAGTTAATTAATGCAAATTATGACTCGTTTCGTACGCCAATCGCTAATCGGAGCAGTGTCTCTCTGGCTAAAGTCCAAGCAACGGCACTTTGTTTGAACTTTGGACCGATACTTTGTTGATTAGTGGCCATGCTTACCGCGGTGTTGGGATTCCACTCTCGTTGAGGAGGGTGTACGAGACATGTTCCTGCACGTTCAGGTTTCGCAATTGCTGCAGTGCAATGGGAGCATAGCTGAGGATCTGTGAATGATAAAAAAAATGGATATCATACATACTATATCTAAAGTCCAAAATATGAGAACCGCCTGAGAGTCCGGTTCCATGAGTCATAGGCCCCCAAAAAAACATAAACAAAATGGAATCAAAAGTGGGTTACGATTAACGGTGGATTTCAGATGATAACTAAGATTAATTCGCATAGATTAGGATTTTAATTAGTGCGACCAGGCCACAACCATGAAAGCAACAGCTGTCATCCGCTCATTGATAAAAAAGAATCGAATAGAGAGCAAATTAAGGAATTCAAGGTCTATTCACCGTTACCCACTAACACACTATCAAGCATAAGCACACACACACACACACACGAAGAGGCACTGCAGAGTTGCGTCACACTGACACACTGCTAGTCAGGTGGCTGTCAGCTGTCTCCAGGTGCGAACTGAGCGATCGGGGGCCTTTCATTTACTTTACCACTCACAAATGTTTACTTTCCATGCATAATACAAATTCAATTGCGCAGGAAATTATTGAATATTAACGCTTCTAAGCAACCGATGTGCACCCCACCCAGCCGATCCGGCCCTGTGATCCATTCGTCACATATGTATGCGTGAGTGAGAGAGCTGCCGCTCTTCACCTTGCCCGCTGTGCCTCTTTTTGCCATTATTATGTAAAGTAACTTATTTTGCATTTGCTTAAATGGCAAATTAATCCGTATTGCACTGCGCCTACCTTTTGAACGGTCTTGGGTCTGACGGACTCGATGAGTGGACCGCCGGTTCGTGCCAGGAATGAAGCCATTTTGTACTGGAATTAGTCGGAAACAATTGTCAAATGATTAGCCCCAAAAGTTGACGTACAAAAATCTGCTTACTTTTTTCGCCTGCTTTTCCTTGTGTGAGACATTTTGCAGCACTTAATATCGTTTAATGGGCGATGTATCGATAGAGCCAAAGCAAGCAGGGAAGAGCGCAGCGCGTGTTTTGAAAATTTTTGATTTAATGCAAAACAATAAATAAATGAATGAATTGTTTTAGATTTTACAGTCAGGAACTACTTTTCAGAGCTCAGGGCAGATCGACAGTTATTAGATCATACAACTTTTGACTCTACTTATCGATGCACGGTTGCAAAAAAATATCGGTAGTTTTGTGCGATAGCCGAAACGAATTCGCGGGTTTTTTTTGTATATCCTGTACTTGAGGAGTACGGGAACGTGTACATTTTGTCGCAACAAATGAATATACGTAATAGTAAATATGGCCAAAAAATGATCTTCGGTATTTTATTGACTTCTGCATCGAGAGTATGGCAAAAGTTTTCTGTAAAATTCGTATAGATACTCAAACGAAGTGTAACGATCAAAGCATTTGCTGCAATTGCAGTAAAGGACCCACCATGGATCTAATAAATCTAGATCAGGATCTAGATTCGATCTAATGGATCTAATAAATGTATTTTTTGTTTTGGATTTTTCCTTAAGGTTTTATTTTTAAATTTTTTTTTGGATTTTACATTGCGACTTGTTATATGAGGACATACAAAAAAAAAAACGTGATCACTTTCAATACATACAATTAACATACATTCAAGACAAGAAGGAATTAGTTTATAAATAGTAATAGTAAAGAATTCATTTTAGATAATTAAAGAGAAGTTTTCTATGCTACACTGTCCGACAAACACGCTTTAGCGCGCGCACTTCTGAGCGCGTGTCTGCAGCAGAGTGTAAACTTTTTATAAACTTTTTGTTGGGGAAACGGAAACGGAAACGAAAACACTAAAGCACGAAAATTGCGCAAATGCTTCACTTGAATATGCTTGAACACATTAATAATAAATCAGCCGCGGCGTTGATTTTGTGCAAGCGAATGCTTCAAGTGAAGCAAATGCATTTTCATTCTAGGGCCAAAATGTCGCATGACTCAAATGTATATAACCCCAGGCCCACCCACTCCCGCACATGGATAGAGAGGGAGGGGAGAGAGTCAGCGGAAGTTCGCATACAGGAGAATACAACATTTTGGCCAACAAAGGATACAGAAACAGAGTAACAGAAAACAGTTTATAACATTTGCAATGAATTGCATTTGAATATCATTTCCCTTTGCAATCCATTCAAATAGATTGCAATGGGAAATGTTTTGGAAATTTTAGGAAAATTTTTAGACAAGTTTTCCGGCGCCTTCAATCGTTTTGTTAATGAACTTTTCTTGAGTTTTTGGGATAGTAGACAAAACTAGATGGAAAAGTTCAAAATCAATACAAAATCAATCAAAGGCAACAGAAAGCTTGGGAAAAGGTTAAAATCTAACAAAACAAAAAACACAAAAAACGCACACATTATAAACAATTATTTTAGACTAGGGACTAACACGAACAGACAAATACAGGGGACAAATACAAAATAAACATAAATATAGACATGAACATGGAAACATAAAACACAGTAAAAATAGTAAGCGAATTTCGTTTAAAAACACAGCTTGTGCGCGCCGTCAGCGTGGATATAAAACATCTTCATCCTGCTCCTCCTCCAGGGGAGACCAGTGCCAGACCGGTCTCCGTACATCAGATACGATCCGATCCGATCAATACTCCAGACTCGCTTCGATCATTTGCAAAACACGTTGCCGGCCAATTTTGTTCCAGAACACATAGTGTTCCCTGGAGCCCGTTACGTTGCGGGATGAACTGTAAATTGCAGAGGATCGTTTAGCAACTATAAGTGATGGAGAAATCGCTGCACTTACTACTGGAAACAGTCGAAACGCACGGCACCATTTTCGTTGACCAGGCACGAGTGTATATCGATGACCTTCAGGTAACCGGCGCCCTCTTTCGAAATGAATCTGTTGAATTTTGCCACCTTGTCGCACAACGCTTTGTCGTGGCAATAGTTGGCGAGCGGGGCCAAAGTGGTTAGGATCGGTGTCAGTCCCCGCTTGTGCATGTCCTTGATCAACTGACGAAAGTCATGCTGGATTTGCACAAACGGTCGGCCCCGCAATATGTCCACAGATCCAATATTAACAATTATCTTCGTGTCCGTGGGCACTTGCGCATGGTGCAGACGCGACCGGGCGCCACTAATGGTCTGCCCGGAGACACACAGACCCGACTGCAGGACCCTCACGCTCCGTTTGAACCGACACCTCAGCTCCATGCGGGCCAAATACAAGAGGAAATCATCCCCCAATAGGGGAAAGTCCAGCAAGTAGGCATCGTAATCCGAGTTGATGGTGAACATGGAGTCATGCTGCGTCCCACTCGATATGGTGGTGGGTGTGGGCGTGGGCGAGAATTCATTGCGTCGCTTCTTTGAGGGGTTGTACTCCTGCTCCTGCTCCTGCTGCTGCTGCTGATGATGTTCGGTCACTCGCAAGTTCAGTTGGTTCGATAGGTTTTCTCGGTGGTTCTGGCAGATGTGATGATGTTGGATTGCTTGAGCCGGCAACGGCGTTGGCTTCTCTGGAGGATCGACAAAGATGTTGGCTCGCTTATAGCAGTTGTTTCTGGGAGAATGGAAAGGCAAAGAAGCTTGAAATCCTGATCGTGTTTGACTAGAAAATTTAAAAGTATTCTCACAAGGAATTGAAGGAATAAGGAAGGAATAAAAAGGACAAACGGAATGGAGGCCAATCGAACTCATTGCAGACTCTGAACACAGCCAGGCCAATAGACATACTCATAGAGAACTCACTTCTTTTATTTTATGTACTCTTAATAACCTGCAAATGATTTGAATTTTATGTATTACTTACAGATGATTCCAATTGTCCTGATAGCACCAGTTTGACTCCGCCGCAGCCCTGGCCAGCTGCTGCAGTGGACCCACCTGGGCCTGGATGGTGGCTTCTTTGGTGCCAACAGGCGTTAGCTTCTCCTCGATGTGATTGATATTCTGGTTGAGATTGTTGTTGGTGTCCAGTGAGGACAGGGCCCGACGCTTGTACTGATAGCGCCAGAAGCGTGGTGGTGCGGCCACCGGATGGTCGCTGGTCATCAGATCGTTGCTTCGCTTCTGATTGATGACCATATCGTACAGGTGGCGCGTCTCCGGGCGTGGCTTCATGTTGAAAATTCGCTTCCCGGACACGCTGCACTCGGCGGTCACGTAGGGGATGGTGAGCAGAAAGTCGGTGACATTTTCGTGCAGTGGAAACGGATTGCCCGTTAATTTCCGATACTCATCTGATGAACAGGTTCGTCGGGATTAGGGATCTAAATATATCTTATGTGGGATTCTGCTCTCAAGGAATACTCACGTTTGATGCTCGATATCGTTATGCCACTTTGGGCGTTGGCCAGCAATATTCCTCTTATCTCGCTGTCTATATCCGGGTACTCCTCACGCACTTCAATGTAATTGCTCTCGATGATGGTCATGCTGCTGCTGCTACTGCTGCTGTTGTAGCTACAGGCGATATTCTCCTCCGTGGATATCAGTGTGGATGAAAAGAGTCTGGCCACAAGCTGTAGCTGTTTCCTCTGGATCTCCTTGGTCACATCCACTGGTTGGGGCGGCGCTTTCTCTGTCTGGGCCACTACCCTCTCTGGTTCACTTTTCCTAGCCAAATCCTTGTTCCCTTTGAAAATCTTCTTAAACTGCCGAATATATTTGGTCTTCTCGCCAAATACCTTGTAGTCGGCTTGCACAAAGATCTTGTAAAAGTGCTTGGGGCCACTTTTGCGGAAGGAAGGCGGCTGCTGGAGCTGTTCGCACCACTGCTGGAAACACGTGGTCAGGCGTTTTCTCAATGCCGTCAGGCGATTGCTGCTGCTGCTGCTGCTGCTGCTTTTACTCGTGTACGGCTCGCTGTGGACACTTCTGAATGTGGCCATCGCTTGAACGAAAGTGAGAGAGTCATCCAATCTGGTCCGCTAGTTTTCTATGTTTCCATTATGTTTTGCACATGTGTGTGCGAGATTTGGAGACTTTCGTTGCAGCTGTCTGGGTGCTGGAAGGGGGCCAGGAGTAACGGTGAGTGAGTCGTTAGCGTGTGATGCGCTTTGATTTCTCATTTGCTTTGATGGCAGATCTGCATTAGGGTGGTGCACTTTTTGAAGCTAACGAAAACGGATCTCACGCATCAGGGTGGGACACTTTGATGAAATTTTATTATAAGCAATAAACCTTTTTCAGAGAACGGATATCCGTAGAGTGGCTGTCATATTGTGGAACATTTGGATATCGGCTATGCTAAGGACTCTCACAGCACATGTACATACATATGTATGTACAATGTACATATATTGAATATTCATTTTTCATCTTCCATTATTCCAAACAGTCAATCTCCTGTTTGATCTGTACATTGCAGATAAAATAAAATAAAATGTATTCCCAACAAAAATTGTTTTTAATGAGTTATATTTATATCGAAAAGTCTTTTCCATTCTTAGTGTATTGTAAGAAAACTGTACCGAAAATACAGCTTTTATTGCATTATTAACACATTTCAAGTTGCTACCATAAAACTATAAACTGATAAACATAATTAAATACAGTTACCACCTGGAATACCATTCGGAAGTCATTACAAACACATAGAATCAGCTGTACAACCCATTTTATGGCCTGTCCTGTTGCTTAGACCAGTTTAAAGAACAGCTTGACAGTTGCTTTATACGCTACGCTACCCGATAAGCAATGCATTACAAGTAATTACAAAATAATAAAAATAACAATACCTCAAACAATTCCAATGAGACCTGGGGTGGCCCACGTGCGCTGGGCAATCGGTAAATGGAGTTGCAAACAATTCCCAAAGATGATTATCAAACAAGTGCACCTGGAAGTTAGAAGATTCTGGTATAAGTTTTATGGTAAGGGCAAGGGACAGCCTTTGATGGATGATAGCAGTCACCCCACCCCGTCTATTGAGGGCTGCTTTCTCTTCAGCCCTTGCTTGGGCCACAGGAACAGCTACAGACTGTCCGAAAGTGGCTTAAGTCGTGTAAGTTGTATCCCCCTCCCTGTTTTGACCAGATCTCCTCGCATTTGCTACCCCCTCAACACTCTCTTAATTGCAGAGGAAGCTGGAAACGGGACGTGACAAGCAATGCTAAACGGGAATATTGTGCAAGAACATGTGGCACAATTGATAACACTCCCCCAAAAGCCCTGACTTACACAAAATGATTGCCCTTTTCTAAATGTAATCCCTAAGCTGCACTGTGGATAATTTTTTCAATTAAAGCTTTAAAGGTTTCGAAATTATAAGAGCCCACTACATACATATGTACATATGTATATCATACGATACAATAGTATTGTAACGGAAAGAAAAAGTCTGAACTAAAACCATAACGCTTGATCTAGATTCTAGTAACTTTTTTTTTCCGTGTATCATGCAATCAGCAAATATTTTTACGTGCTCCTCCACTTTCGTTTTTCCCATTTTTTTGTAGTTCTCTTTCAAATATTTTGAATGCACTCGCATTACAAAGCAATTGTCCGCTTAATAACTGTAATTTGCATGCATTCCATACACACACACTCACATCAACGCTTGTTTTTTCTCTCCCTCCATTCTATCTCTCCACCCACCAACAGCACTGCCTTAACGAGACTATGGGCTGCATATTGCATCAAAAATACATGCCACTTTGTTTCAAAGAAGTTTGATTGCAGGTTCACTTTAAGTTACGTTCAAATACGTTACGTTTATTATCGTACTTTTTTCAGTCATAACTTTTTGCCAATAAGGATGCTGCCTCGTTCAGCCAGTACTTACTTGTGAGAAAACTCTCCAACTTATGCTCTCTCCAATCACCCTATTTTTACTGCCTCATCTCCCTTCCACTCACTTCTAAACCTTGCTGCTCTCTAGCTTACCTACTGCCTTCTGCTATTCCTCTCCTTCTCCAGCTCCCTAACTCTTTTTCCCTCTTCCACACTAACTTCTGCCTTTAATCATCAACTACTCTGATTCAACAACAACAACAAACCACATTTGTTCCTCTCTGTGATTGACAAGTTCTGTGGGGTGCGGGGGAGTTAGTGCACGCGCTTAGAATTGCAAAGAGCAATTTACCGCCTGGAATCATGAGCGACACTTTTCATTGGGCTCTCCCCGACTGCATTTTTGCATAATTTATGGAGGCTTAAAGCCGCTAAAGCTAAGCCACCCGCCATACAGCAGCGATGGAGGACGGCAGCATGTAATCAAATTTATGCAAACAATTATCGTAGAGGGGGAATGTGGGGGTGGTGGTGGCGTGCGCTGGGGGCGGACACCTGTTAATCTGTTGATATTTCGAAAATTCATGGAATGTGTAACTTGAATGCAAGTGCGTGCTATCCAGTGGAATCAGTTTACCATTTCAGTGCAGCTCTCAATGCACTAATTTCCAATCAATGCCGATAATTACCCTTATCCGTTTCCAGCGTCTGGCTTTAACATCTGTTATTATTTCGCATTACCTCGTACTTATTCGAGCCGGGCCTAATTAGAGCCCTTTTGTGTGTCTGTGCTACTGCCTGTTTGTATTGCCTGTTTCTCAGTTTCTGGTCGAAACAGATTGGCAATAACACTTGAGTTAAGTGATTGAGCATGTGTCGGGTGGCTCCATATGTGGCCTGACGGCAAAAGCAATTAATCAAGGCTATGGGGGATTGTACAGGACGGGGGCTTCCGATTCCGGTTTTGAGAAGGTCCTCATTATCACAATACGATATGATAGTGCAATACAGTATGTGCCTACGATATTCAGGCCAAATCAATGGGAGATTGTCTATCAATCGAGGTAAGTGTACAGAAAACAAATAGGTAAACAAAACATTTTTATTTTTTATGAAAACAGAATTTATAGCATTAATTAGATGAAATAGGGTATGTTAATGTCCATACTACCGGTTGATAAGCAACAAGTGTTTAAATGACGTAAAGTCTTACGTTTTTACAAAATATGTAGTATATTTTAGTATATTTCTGGCGTATTTTTCGGCTTAGTGACTTTATTCGTTTGTGGTGGAGCCGCATGTTCCTAACGGAATGTAGATTCATTGTTGCGAAGTTCCTACGGGTTCCCGTAAGATACATTTGATTTGTATGGGAAAAATTTCAGCAGCATGGGGAAATGAATTAGCAACATTGTTGTGCAGGTTCGGAAGGAAATGAGCAACAAATCTCAATACCTTGGGAAAAGGGATATTATGGAATTGAGATATTGTTTGTAATTTCAGGCTCCAATTAATGCAGAAACTACTCAGTCTCTGTTCTAAAGATGTTAACGAAATTTTACAGCTCACGGGTACCAATAATAGGTATCAGAACCGGGATAAATGTATTTATAAAACACAAAACATATGCATGTAAATCTAGGATAAATTCATCATTAATGTTTCAATGGAGCTTGGAACAACAAATTTAACATCAATTAAAGGAAATAAGGTATACAAAGGTCCATACGTATAGAAGAAAATGGTTGCTGGTCAACCAGCAACAATAACGTCATATTTAGTCAACATTTACGTTTTATGCTGTGGCCGTTTTTGTTTGAACGTTTTCATGTAAACAATACAATGAAAAAGAGTTCTGAAAATTAGCCAATCCTGAACCAAATTTGTATGAGGAATTGGATAAAATTTAATGTTAAGGGCTGAGAGAGCTAACTAGCTAGTAATATTAAACCGAATATCAAAATTAAGGAATATGAACGCATCTTGTCGTGTCCGTCAGTATATTTACGGTATATTTAAAAAATGACAAGGTATATTTTGATATACTTCCGAGGGTCAGGCGGTATATTTTTTTGATAAATGCGCGGTCACACTGCGTTCCGGCCAGTGACGTCAAATTTAAAAAATTTTTCAAACTGCGAGGGTGCGCGCGCGGACGAATTAAACGAACTGCGAAATAAATGGCGCGAATTTACTAATATTTTCGAGTTTATATTAAAACAAAGCTAATACGAAAAATGCAACAACTTAGTGCATTCAAAATGTGTTCGTGTGAGCTAGAGTGAAACAGAAGATAAAGCAGCAAAAAAGTGCAACAACAACTGTGTTTGTGTGCGTGTGTGTTTTGTGTGTGGGCGCAAGTCTCCACTCGAAAGCGAAATCCAAAAGAAATTCCCGTTATGACGCGCGAAGAACAGGAGGAGGTGCGATCTCTGCTGTCCCGGCACCAGGAGCGGATTATGCTGGATCTGGGTAGCACCGATCTTCTTGCCGTGCTCGTCAAGAACTCGGTGCTCAGCCAATCCGAAGAGGATCTTCTGCTGAAGCCCTATGCTGCCGCTGCACTTCCAGTCTCCGCCCAGGAGCCCCCAGGCAGCGCTCCATCTAGCGTGGGCGCCTTGACCAAGCGGAAGCTGAGCGCCGTGGCAAGCAGTGGAAGTTCCGCAAGTGCCAGCGGAAGTGGAAGCGGTACCGGTGGAGAGTACAGTGCCGGTTCTCTGGCCGGTTCGGGATCCTCCCGCTGTGCCAGCGTCAATGGTGATGCCCAGAGTGACAATCGCTCGCTGACGCCCTCTGTCGGCGGCGGTGGTGGGGCCTGTGTGGGGCTGAACGACGCGGAGATCCTTCGGTTGCAGTGCGCCAATCTCATAGAGATTATAGCCAAGAACGGATTCGAGAAATTCAAGCAGTTTTGCTACGCCATCGAGTGCGAGTGCCCCCAACTGATCGAGGATCTGATTAATGATCGTCTCAAGAGTGGTAAGTCCTTCGAAAAGTCCTTCTTTATTTCAAGGCAACTACATGTGTCTTAATTGGAAGACTGATGGATGAGATTTGTTAGGAATAAAAGTACAATTGAGGAAATCTCTCGGCTGCGATCTCCATGCATATACGACATGGAGTCTGGTCTGATCTGAGAGGATCCGTCTCTCCGCCAGCAGTTCCCGTTAGGTTCTGCCTCTAAGCACGGCTCTCTCCAACCGGTTCCTATCTACCTGATTCGCGCGACAAAACGCGTTGGCAGCTTTAGTATCCCATATCTTGGCCGTAAATTATTCACGTAATTGTGCTCGATCGGTTCTTAAATTTCTCATCTCGGCTAATTGATTTTCTTACCTGTTTTTCTTTGCTCTTTTTGCCAATCTCTGGCCGTGTAGGAGGGGGCGTCCGTGTGGGCGTTGGAGGTTTGTGGGGGAGTGAAGTGTCGCGGGGGCCACCATTTACAGTGGCGCGTCGATAATAATTGCCATTATTAGAGATTATTCAGCTGATTATGCAGTCCATAGAATTTATGCAAATTCTGATATATTTTTATGATGTGGCAGGTGGCATTTGAAGCACGTTCGCATAAACATGTGAAATATGATGAAAAAAGAAACCTGAAATCTGTTTTGTGCTCTCGTATTCACAAGAAAAACTCTTTTCAGAAAGCAAGATATTTTATAGGGGAGTTTGGTATTCAAATAACAGAAAGAAAAAACACAAGAAGAATTTCTTCTCGTATTTGTGTGTTGATAAGGAGAAATCTCGTGATGTGGTTCATCAAAAAAATGCAGCACTTTTAGATGCACTCTCAGGGCCATAAACCATTCGGAAAAAGATTTAGATTACAAGAAGAAGGAATGATGCATTTATTTAATGGAAGATTATTAGGCGAAGGTTTCTTCAATAGAGATTTAACTGAATTGTAGATTCCCTAAGATTCGGGCCTCTGTTTAGGGCTGAACCACATTCCACAATTGAAGATTATTCTTTGGCAAAATCTCTAATGAAACTGGCTGAGATCATACCTTTATCCACTCCCTTTTTCCCAACAATTACCGCAACAATCCATCAAAACTTTTGCACAGCTGTGTAGTGCCATCCACGCGCTGATTCATTGACCCACAACTTGAACGAACAGCTGAAGCCAAGCCCATACCATACCCATACCCATTCCATTACCATCCCATTCCAGAGTCTTCTGCCACACGAAACTACGAAAACAACATGTTGTCGGCGGTGTCTGCATGTAAATTTTGCTGCCCAGACTTGTAAATTACCCCAAAGAACATACAGAACAAGGCAGGAAGAGAGCTGTACGAGGAGTAGCAGTGTAGGACCGAAAATTCAGATTACAGCTAAAATAACAAAAACAATGGAAAGATAGAAGAACTCCAGAACTCTTGTTGTTCTTTAGATTTTACTTGTTTTTTCTCTCTCCAATGAAAAGTTTGGGGAAAACCAAATTATCGTACAAGATCACCAAAAAGAAATTAAATGAAAAAAAAATCACAGCAAGAGCAAAAAAATACTAAAGAGTAGAGGAAAATCAATAGAAGATCTAGAAAAAGTAGTAGTAAAACATAGAGGAGTATAAGAAAAACAAAAAAAGATCAAGAAAATTAAGAGAAAAACAAAGGAAATTCATATTTGGTGAAATGAATAAATAAAAGATAATATGATTTCAGAGAGAAGGTTAAACCACTTAGGGTTGATAAGGATATGTAAAGATATATTTAGAGCGTTTATATAACTATAAGAAACTGAAAAGACCTCAAGGAACCTTCGAATCCCAAACATTTTGATTCCTGGGATGTTTTTCTTAGTAATAGGATATTTAATGATGGGATATGAGAGCTGAAACAACAGAAAGTTTCTTTCTTAAGTTTCTATAGTACGATATAATGTCAGCATATCTTCTGTATAGGGTATTGAAAAGTGCCAAGCAACAGGAGAACAAAGAAAATTAAAAAAAAAGCAACAAAAACTAACCATGGCAAAACGTATGGTAGAACATAAAGCCCTCGATCACGTTTTACGATTCCGAACACGATTACAGACAAAAAAGAGAACCATTGAGGGACGTAGAGTGGGAGGGAGGCAGAGAGAAACGTTAACATTACGCGTGGTCCATGTCCATGGCCATGTCAACGTGC